TAATATTGTTGAGTTATTCACAATGGAGTTTTGGAACTCTGAAAAATCTACAAAACTTCCATCACATTATAATCTATAATGTACAAACACTTAAGTGCAAAGAACTAGCCTCAATTAGCTTAAAATTATAAGCAATCAGTCATGTGCATTGAAGAATAACTTAGGTTTGATCTTTTCTGCAGTTCTGACAGAATTAGTCTAGCAATACAGTTCTGCAACCTCTTACTTGCAAGCGAGCAGCAGTGTTTCCCGGCTGACAACCAAAATAAGCTCCTGCATGAGGAGAAAATTACTTCAAGTGTCATTATCCTCTGTTACAAAGGGCATTGCCACTTCGGTCTGTAGACTTCAGCTTGCTTTGGAGTCAATGTTAGATACCCAAATAATAGATAACATCAAAAAGCATCCCATTCCTCTTATGCCAGAAACTATCCTCTGGAATGCAGTTTACAGGTTTACAGCTCCTGAGACTAATTACTGCACCTCATACCTTGGAATCGAGTCTTCTGTTTTTAATTTCTCAGGAGGTACTAGCTCAGGTACAGCATTGTATGAACAGTTGATAGTAGAAAGGAGTTCAAATTACTAGAACTGCCCTGTATATTTTCTGACAGCTGTGCTAAAAGGGATCTAGTCTTACTCAGTAATATGCTTCGAAATAAAACTATTCCCCAAACAACTGAGTTTGTGTATTCATGCCATTTGCTTAAGAGAAATAAGGAAGAAAATAAGTAAATAGATGCTTAGTTCTCCAGGGTTATATGCTCGATTTAGGCCTATCAAAATGTGTTTTGTTTAAAAACAAATGCAAGTCCAAATTCCCTGCATCTGTTTATACGGGCTAAGCCCCTGATGAAAACTGCGTGGCATGTCTCCCATTACCTACCCTCATCCCCATGAAAGTGTTACAAGAATTAGCTCACAGTTCCGGTCTCAATTTATTTGATTTCTCTGTAGAGCTAGCTGATTTAAATAGTTCTCACATTATCAAATATCCTGCTTTAAATCTCTTCAACGAGACTAAGTAACGTCAGACATGTGAAGTGTGTTTTCCTGGCGTGTAAAGAAACCAAGTTCACCCAATTTCTAAGTTCATCATTTTTGAGTGATTTTTTTTTTTTTTTAGTCTGCAGTTTCAGTTTTTATATTCAAGCCCATAAAGGCCAATGCAGCCTTTAAAATCTTGCCAAACTGTAAGTTAGCACCTCACCAATAGTTACCCGACTATAACTTTCCAAAAACTAAGTAGCTGGGGAGCTAGTTTTACTACCAATATGGACTATATTCTCCACATTCACTCTCTTACGGGCATAATGGAGATGTTCTTAAAACTTGGAATGTTTTCCACATTATTTCTTTCATTATTGCCTGATGCTCTTGCTTCTGGGAAAGGGGAGAGTTCTGTCAGGCTTATCATTTTCTAGGGGTAATGGATGAGGAGAATGGACTCAAGCCTTTATTCATAATAACAGTAAAAGGTCTTTCATAGGAAAGAGGATCAAGAAGGCCTCGCCTCATAAAATATAATTGTTACGTATAAGCACATATTACATATACAAGTGACTAGGCTAGTTCATCGCTTATCATCAAGTTACCTAGCGGTTTCCACTATGGTCCTCTTTTCAGACCTCCATAGTTTTGTTAGACTAGTGGTCCGGTCTGAAATTTTCCAGACGAAACGTCTGCTTTGAGATTAATTTTGTCGTTGTTAAAAGCTTTAACCAAAACAACGCAGGTGTTTCCAAGATCACTCACTGCTGTGGAAAAGACCATCGAGACTCTATACTGAACAGATTTTAAAAGTGGACCTATGCATAGCACAATGCAATGGGCCAAATGGTAGCTAAGGCATGAACGGTGGGTGCCAGGACCTCTCCATCCAAGAGGGAAAGTATACAACTTCCTCAGTCTGCATAAGTGGACAGGTGCTGTTCTGAGCACTTGCATTATTTGGTGGCTGACAAATGGAGACTCAGTTGAGAAGCCAACTTGTGCTCCGCACTGACAGCCTTTGAGATAAAGGTTGGGTGAATGTCCTCAACCTGCTGCTGACAGTGTCATCCAGAATACAGCTGTACTTTCAAGAGGACAGCCCTTTTTCCTTACCTCCTTAAATCAGTTGAGCATATCTTGGCAATCAGTTCCTTGTCATTAGAAGCTGTTTTCTTTCCCTTTGCTGAAAACTGAAATGCTCTAGTTGAACTAAAACCTTCAAATATAATATTCCCTGCAAGACAGTATTTGCCACTAGTCAGGTATTCCAGTCTCTCCAGCTACAAATCTGTCCTGCCACTCAGAACTGTCACTAAGATTTTTGTTTATTTAGGCTCTACAACAAGCAGGAAAAATGTCTCATCAAGCGAAAAAAAAAAAGAAGTGAGAACACCATCGGCCCCAGATCTCTCTGTATACGGCATACGTTCCTGCATGCATCATTTCATAGTTTTGATGCAATATCACCGAGTATCTTTACTGGGCTGCTACGATGTATATGCACAACTATCCTTCTATACGATTTCAGCTTGCAAGTATCCAGACAAAAATAAAAGTTGAACTAATTTCACTTAAACCACAAAGCTTCCTGTTTCTCCTAGCTAATTTCTCAAATCTTGCCATTTAATTAGTTGAAATATATATTTGTTATGTCCAACAGATTCAAATCAACAAATATATGGGCATCCGTATAATCCATGATGCATTAAAGATCAGATTATATTATTTAGTAGTCACTTAGTAGTCTCCTACTCTGTAGGAAAACTTTTTTCCTCCATATTCAATTGTAAAAGAATCGAGTGCTTTCACTAAACACAACTATCTGAACAGACAAGAATATAAAAGAAAACTGTTAGTAGGAGAAAGTTGGGGTTTTTTTTTTTCTTTCTTTCTTTTTGCCACTCCAGAAATATGGATGCAGAAGTCTGCCCTACTATGAATCTGGTAGTCTCTCAAGAAACTATAGAAGGGATTCAGGGAGAGAAAGAGATGATGTTTCCTAAGTCAAAACTAAAACATTGGACCTGGTTTCTCATATAAAACTCTGGCTAAACCAAAATTACTTAGTCGTCCAAACGTATGTTTGTTTTTCACTCACAGAGCCTCACTAAGATGCTGGGACATGTGAGTCAGGAGCCAAACTCTTCTGAGCAGCTCAGAACTGTTAGTCAGCCCTTCCCTCCATTCGCCTTTCTGCAGGCTTTGCCAACTCCTGGGTCTAATCAAAACTGGTGTCAAATTTTTGTACCCTCAAAAAGCTCTGTTCATAATAATGTTTCGAGGCTAACTAAAAGCAGGAGTTATCTGAGAAGTTATAAACCAGTTTATGCTGGCAAGATTTCAAGCTCATATTTTGAGACTCAAGAAAATCTGATTGTATGCATGAACATCCACAAATGTAGTTGGTCTTCTCTACAGCACTTAAAGGCTTTTTGGCTTTACCTTACATAAAACATATGGAGGCCAACAGGAGCTTTTCTGCAACTACAGTGGACATAAAGTGAGGCCCTATATGGGCATTAGGAAGCCTGTTGGTGCAGCATGGCAGCAAAAATACATATATGCAGTGTAATTGTTAAAGCTAGTCATAATCAACAGCAGTGATTTGAATACGGTCACCGGATCCCTCGGCCTTTGTCGGTGCGTGGCAATGGTTGCTGTCACTAGTTCGTGACCTCAGTCTAAAATGAGATTTGCCAGTACGATGTCACAGGCTAAGCTTCTTTTATAAAGACTAACTTACAAGAGAGGAGTTTGGTTTGAAGCCAAACCACAGTGGCATGCAAGACAAGCAAGCCCATTCTACTCTAACTCAGTAGAGCATCAAGTGACACTTTGGTCATTGCCTGTGGTTTGTCTCTAGTCCAGAGGAGTAAGCTGCATATTTTCCTTATTTTGTATAACTTGACGACAAGCCCTTTCCGAAGAACCCCAGTGGATCTTTCTAAGTTTACATCCTGAATAACTAATATTAACTGAACTGAGAGAACTAATTGTTCCTGCAACTACTGAAGCTGGCCCGTATACAGAAAAAGTTTCTGAGTTTCTTAAGAAAACTATAATGGCTTTGTTTAAAAAGACAAATTCATATTTAAATGCTCCCTTCTTGCCATGTGGCTATCTACTCAAGTAAGATTTATCTATCGCTTTCAAGTCCCCAGGTCAGAGATTCTGCAAGCAAAAGATCTGTTAGGAAGAAAGGAGTCAGAAGTAATCCTACCTACTGTACAAATGACAGTAGTTACTGTTACATACAGACGACAACTCATTACTGGCTGAATTGAAGCACACTGAAATTAATGGGATTCTTGCCTTCAGTTTTCAGCAATCTTTGGATCCATTATTAGGTTTTCAGAGTGATGTTATGTATATTGTTATATATAATAATTCAGAGACTGTAGGGAATTTTTTTGCTTCATAAACTCGGAACGTATCCAGGGCACGCACACACCCACATTCCCCACCTCAATAAACTAAAAATTCCCTAAAAAGAAAAGACCGATGTTATTCTACATTTTTAAATTCAAAAATAACTATTCCTCCTCAATTTCAGAGAGATTTAGATACATCCATTAATACAGTATTCACACAAATGTAGCACAGCGGAAATTACTCTCTCATTTGGTCAGAGCATGAGCAGAAGAAGTATCTAATATTCGTATACCACAGAGACATCACACAATTCTCATGGCTTTCTGCTTAAGAGGACTAGACTCAAGGACTAGGCTAGCAGGACTGCTGCTTAAATCCATAGCTGGCAGAGCTCTATGTAATTTCTTTTAATCTCTGTCTCTGCCCATCTTATTATACCTCACAGTTATCATGAATTTTAGAATTCAGTCAGTAAAACAAAGAGTTTTCTCCTCTCCAAGACTTGAGGACTACCAGAAGCTGAGGGATAATGTGCTTTATAGGTCTGTCGGCTACATTTTGTCTAAATTAGAAAGTGAATTTTAAAAGTTGCAGAAGGTACTTTGCTGGCTTCTGCTACTAACTTTTTCATTAACTTTTTTTTTTTTCTTTTCATACCTGGGGGACATGGCTTAACTGCTGCCTATGGCACATTTCGTCTGTCTATAAAACACATTCTCTTTGCCCAAATTTCCTGAGAAGCTGTAAAGGTTTATAAGATCTTTACACTTTAAAAACTTCAAATATAAATCTGTATTACATACAATACAATTATTCATGTGAAAGTAATGCAGCAGATTTGTCTATTATATTCCTTGAATGCCAAGACAAAAAAAAATTCCTGCTTAATAATAGCAGTGGCAGAGACACATGGCTTGTGAATTTCCTTGTGATCAGCGTGTCTCTGCAGGTTTTTTTGAATGCTTAATTTCAGGCATTCAGGTTATTAATTCTTGCAGTTACAGAGTTTTTATCTCTGCATCTTTTGCTCTTGGTAATGTATTTCTGAATCCAGTTGTCAAGTAATGCAATAACTACAGGACAGTGGAAAAATACTACTTTTAGAAGTTGTCTTCTGATTGCCTGCGCTCTCTTCAGTAAAGAGCTCCACCTGAGCATTTAGAGAAGAATCTCAACAGAAAAAAAAAGGGTAAAAATACACCCTGCTATCTTGTGTTTCTTATCTTTTTCCTTCAGTATAATTACATCAATTCTATTCAATTTGCAGTTTTTATTTCTTGAAATATACTTTTCTTTTTTATGTGCTGTTTTTACTACTAAAATATTTTTAAAGGGACAGTATAAATGTAGGAAGATTACATTGTTTTTTTATGTCCAGGAGTACAGTATGGAGAATGGTTATGAAGATCATACTTGCTTACAAACAAAGCCAGAGGCAGCCTTCCTGAAAACCCTGCTGTTTTCCGTGGCATAAACCCAGATGGCAGTGATGACAGTAAAAAAAAGCCTCTTTCTCACATGACTGTGACCTTCTCAGCACAGCCAGAGAACGCAGCCGTAAGAAATCTGGAGACAATGGGCTCGGTTAAGAATTTCAGTTCTTCCTTATTCCCTTCCACAAAAAAGTGTTGTCTTTCAGGGCAGAGGGCCTCCTACAAGTTCACCAGTTATGCCTGCAATGTAGGGGCAAGCAAGCTCTGTTGGCACCTGTACAACCAAAATGAGAGAGAAACAAAACGACAGAGTAACTCTTCCTGTTTTACATGGAAATTTTTCCCCCTTCTTATCCTCAAAACCTTGCATCCCCTTCAGCAGAGGCCAATGAAACTATTACTCCCTTATGAACTTGCAGC